GAGGCAGGCGCGCCCCCGGCCGGGCCCGCCCCCGCGGCCGCGCCCCCGCCGCCAGTGAGCGACGTGAACACGGTGCTGGAGGAGACCTCGCGCACGCAGCGCCGCTGCTCCGCTGCGATACAAACCACTTTGTTACTATACTAATTGGTACTTCACACACTCGACACTCGTTACACTGACGACCAATCACGATAACCCATTTATCAATAATTTTAGCTGGTAAAGATAGAACATTCCATATTTGGCACGTCAAAACTGACTGACAGGTTACGTTATTGCAAGTGATCGTAAAGATTTCTAGTTATTTAATAATACCTGTGGCCGTTTTCGCCCACCACGTCTAAAATCGTTAAATATCACCGAGGCTTAGGAGCCTGGGTGATAAGTTGAAATGTTGTGTTGTGTTGAAAAGGAACCTCTCGGTTCCTTAACATTTAGGAGACGGTGGTCAATATGGGCATTAGTTACTCGATATTCGAAACATTAAAGCCAGTTTGCACATTCAATACTTTAGTTACATTTAAACAAATATTTTTACGGTCATGTAATACCAAGGCGAGATCTGTAAATAAAACATATACTAATACCCACCTATAAACATCAATACATACATACATATAATAAAACTGTACAGGTGTAAATTCTGTACATTCCAATTTATAGTATGAGTTGTCACTACTAGATAGACAGCAAATCCAAAAATGTTATAATTTTTTTTCGTCTTCGTCTGTCTGTATGTTCACGCATCACGCAAAAACTACCGGTCCGATTACGACGAAACTTGGTACGATTATATTTGAATATCCTGGGCATCAACTGGTTACTTTTAAAAGTATACACACGAAAAAACAAACTTAATTGTGCGGCTCAATCCCGAGACACAGTTACATACTGTAACAAACGCAAATATAAGTTTCTCGAATGTTAAGTTAAGCCCACTGGACCGTACGCCGAATGTCGAAATTAGCTTGAACCGCGCAAATATGTGAGTTTGTGTCTTTTTAATTGGTGCGTGTGGTATGTTTGTTGTTCAGTCACATAAAAACGGCTGAAGGTATCGACATAACAGAGGTAAATAATTATGGTCTTTTTTTAAGGGGGGAAATCATCGAACGACATCTCCCGCCTAGGTGAGGCGGGAGGGAGTGTCAGACTCTTACTGACTAGAAACCACCCTCCTATTCCTGCACTTCGAGCCGAAGCCCCGGTATCCTTTTACGTTCTCCGCGGCTCCGTATTGGCATCCGCCCTATTGGGCCCATCCGTGATGGTCTGGTAGCTTTTTGAGCGCGGAACGCGAAGCGCCGTACGCTCGGGTCTGGTTTTGGTCGGAGATCGTCCGCGGTCCTCGCAGTGATCACACCTGGGCGTTCGCGCCGGAGCTCTTCCCGCCACGTACTAATCTGGCACAGCAGCGGAGTTTTGATTCGCTGCCTCCACGGATACGTATCCACGGATCATCCAGATCGCTATGACCCTCTGAGACGTGAGCAGCGCCCGAGCGGGCCGCCGCATCAGGTTCTGCCCATACATGGGCGCCGTAGAGGGCACTGGGCCGCACGACGCCCGCGTATAACCTCCGGAAGGAAGCGTATGCCCCCAGAGGATAGGTAGGAGGCGCTTAAGCGCCGCCCCCGTTCTTTCCAACTTAGGAGCCAAACGTCGGAAGTGCTCCACACGAAGTTCCACCGATCGACGACGAGTCCCAGGTTCCTGCCGTTATTTGGAACTCATCCGGAGGAGCCCGTCCGACTGGTCTACCCTAACATCCGACAGTTGCACGATGAGGTGGTTCGAAATAATTCTTTCGAAGACTTTCCCCAGCTCGATGGGCCGGCACGTGTAGATAGCCCCGGCAACGCGGGCGAAGCCGCTGGCAGAAGCTACCTTGAATAATACTCAACCTAACATTTATTTTTAATAGATTTGATCGCGTTTTTCACTCACCGATCATGTTCTGCAGATTATCGATGACGACCTCGGTGTTGTACGTGGCGTCCACGGCGCGATGCAGGAACGCTGTCCACGTGCGTAGCTCGGCTTCCTGCAAGCAGATACTTGCACCTATATAACTGTCTATTAAACACAGCAACATTCCCTGCTGAAGGAGTGTCGGTCTGAAAAAGCTCCGCGATGCCATTTGCCATTGAATCTGTCAGACACCCCACTAGGCGAGTACCTTCACCTGTACGTCCCAGGACAGGGATTCAACCAGTACACAAGCTGCTTCGTACGACAGTATCTGTTACCTACCTTAACTAAAATATATTATATGGATTCGTATATAGTGTCTAATAGTAAAGCTAACAAACCAACCATTACTGATGTTATTGCAAATAAAAATATTTTTATCTCGCAGATACACGGACTATGTCATAGTATGTGGCACGAATGTGTTAGTAGTACACTATATGTGCCGACGTAATGACGTAAGTGGAGCGCCTAGCGACCGATCGCCGTGCACCGCCTATATATAGAACTGACGTGACGGTCAGGGTCAGTCGCGAGCGCGCGGTCGCTGCACCGGCTCTCCAGTAAATGTTATGTCCACCACCACGACCATATCAACATCAGCACCCATAGAAATATCGCTACACCTCAGCACAGACAGGTTGTCATGATTCAATGGTCTCGTTACTTGCCGGCGCGGCACGCCGCGTCTGAGACTGCCTGGTCTCCCGCGACGTAATACACGTAGCTGATCTGGCTACTCACAACTAAATATAGCGGTTACCGCGTCTAACCTGTCTTCAATGAGGACCGTGACCCTCTCCCATTAGTGTTAATAGCACTGACTCATATAATGTCTAATTACTAATTTTCATTCATCTAATTACAAATTGGCCCTTGTAATTTCATAAGGCGGGTTCTAGCAATGCTTTACCACAGCGTGTCCTCAGTGTTTCAAATAAATTCATTGTCGGCACGTTTAGCGAACTATTGTAATGTATGGTCTGTTGAGCTTGAGAGACCAGCCACGGAGCTATCGATTATAGCTATAAAACCCGAACGCGAGGATAATAATAAAATTTTACGAATACGATTTTTCGTTTTTTTTAATTTCAATTTTTAGTAGCCTAGCTGGGCAATATATTTCTATATTCGTATGACTAGGGATAGTATACCAACATTACTTACAAGTCCATTGCATTGTGTAAAATAGATCCGATTTTATAAGAGGTACTAGCGAGCTGCCCCGGCTTCGCACGGGTGCAATACTTATGTAAAAATACCAACTACAAAATGTCCTTACCACGTTCACAGCTATTTTGTCATTAGACAATACAAACATGTTTTATATTGATATTTTCTTCACTAGAGAGCTCCGATAAACGCGTGCGATCGTTGCAAGTCATAAAGTGCATGCATTTATAAACCTTCCTTAAGAATCACTCTATCTATTAAAAAAACCGCATCAAAATCCGTTGCGTAGTTTTAAAGATTTAAGCATACAAAGGGAGATAGGGACAGAGAAAGCGACTTTGTTTTATACTATGTAGTGATAGTGATTAAGAAACTTTTCTGGTTCAAAAGGACACAACAAAAACAGGTACAATCACCAATCGACTTGGCGTCGTTTACAAGACTTATTTTCACTTATTTACTTTAGGCACCTTTACTGCTTCTCCATTGCCTCCACTAGCGTCTGGGTTATGGACGATAGGACTCCTCTAAAAAGGGTTTGTTTTCTACCTCGTGTGTTCATAAGTTTTGAGACAAATTAAAAGTTGCATATCTTTTTAAATAATAAACTTATATTTATAAAAACAATAACAAACATTAAGTAGATAGTAAGTAAAAATTAAATATAATTATTATTCAAAATGACCACCCCTGTTTTTAATACATGCCCTTAGACGATTTGGCCAGTCATCAATGGCGGCACGAATCTTTTCCAGAGGAATTCGCTTCGCTTCTCGGACAAGAGCTCGCTTAAGTGACTCCAAGTTTGGGTGGGACTTTCGGCAGGCTCTGAGCTCTAATTCGGTCCATAGAGAATAATCCAGCGGGTTGAGGTCGGGGCTGGAGGAGGGCCATTCGTTCGCCGCAATGAAGGCCGGCACATTTTCCTTCAGCCAAGCTTGGGTGGTTTTAGCCTTATGGGATGGCGCCGAGTCTTGCTGGAAAACCCAATACTTGTTATGGAATAGGGTATTAGACAGGGGTTTCACAACAGTCTCTAGAATGTCACTTTGATAATTTTTGGCTTTCACCTTGACGCCTTGTTGGCAGAAATGAAGCTGAGTGACACCTTCGTACGAAACTCCCCACCATACCATGACACTAGCCGGATGATGAGTACGCGAGACATTCCGTGCTGAAGGTGGGACATCCTTGCTACTTTTGGCATACACTTTATTGTTTTGTCGATTGAACTTTTCTTCGACGGTAAAGATTTTCTCGTCGGTGAAGAGTATCTTCCTCGCATCGTGTCTCCTAAGCAGTATTGGACAACGTTCGCGTCGCAATTGACGAAGGCGATCGTTTAAAAAGTGTACTTTTCTACGGCTATACGCCTTAACCTTGAGATCATATTTCAGTATTCTGTTGACTGAAACGCGCGAAATATTGGTCTGCAGAGCGAGTTTCTTCTGAGTGCGACATGGATTTCGGTGAAGTCGCTCTCGGATGATTTTAATGTTCGCAGGCGTCCTCACAGAGCGTGGACGACCACTTCTTTGCCGATCATGTAAAGAACTTGTCTCCTGGTATCGTTTAATAGTGTAATATACGAAGTTACGGCTCACACCAAAACTTTTGAGTTCTAGGAAAATGTCCATAGGTTTTCTTCCCACCTTAAATAATGAAATGACGGTCGCACGTAATTCTTTTGTTCCCTCCATTACGAGAAAATTTAAATAAAATAATCCGAAATCATAGATATTAAAAGTTTATACATTCCAAATTCAAAATTAGAAAAAGAAATATATAGCAGCCAGTAATTTTTATTTTATTTTTATAAGCAAAAAGTTTGTCTCAAAACTTATGAACACACGAGGTAAAATAGAACCAACTATCATTACCATGATTACAGAGTCTGCATCTTACATGACCACAATCTCATCAACTAAACCAAGATATTTAGTTGCTTTATCTTTTTCCAGTCTTCGTGAGATTTTCGTCATATGGGATTGTTAATGTCAATTATAATATGATTATGTATTACGAACATTATTAATGCAAATGTTTGTATGTTCGTTTGTTTTTACTCTTTGTTGCTTGACGTCAAAACGACTGAAGGGATCGGGTGAAATTTGGAACAGGGATAGATTGTGGTCTGGAACGACATGTAGATTACTTTTTATCCCACGAGACATACGTAACCCCGCGACCCCACCCTACAAGACACAGTAAACTCACTCCCAAACCGATACCCGTTACATACCTCCTTGTACATAAACCATACTTAATGAAATAGTTAACCCATTCGCTGCGACAGACACCTATCGGCGTTTTGTTATTTCATATTCCGATGCGGAGTACGCCTAGGCGTGTTTTTTTACAATTGTATTTTTCTTGGCAAAAACCAGTAATATTATTCACTTGAGGTGCTGAGGACGCCCATCGGCGTTATAGACGAAAACCGCCCCGCACCTGAAATATCGAGTTAATTTTCTCTGCCGCAATGAATGGGTTAAGCCAGATACAGTACAGAGCTCACCAGTTCACTACAGTACGATCAAGTCCGATGTCCCTTGTATTGGCGCTCCTTTTATTTCACAGTACATGAGTCCGCGCACTTTCACAGTCATTACCGCAGCCAGCGCACGATGCCAACGCAGACATTAGAAAGCGAACTTCCATTTACATGCAAAACCCTACATAAGTACTAGATTATTATGATTGTGGCGATTGTTTTATTGTTACACTTTTTCCCGTTATGCTTTTGTGATCACGCGTCGATGACATCGTGTGAGGTACGCAGCTATTTACAAAAGGTGCGGGGGCGATGGCCGATCAGCCCCTCGTCTCGCTTGGAAAATCATTGCCGGTCTCATCGATTTTACCAACACAACATTAATAGAACGTACTTACTGAGTACTGAGGTATCAGTAAACGAAAACCTACTGAAAATATTACATTATCATTAATTATTCCAATGATGAGTAGAAACATCGTGGAACAGTTAAAAACACAGAACAGATAATTAGGTATATGTTCTGTGGTAAACAATATATATCATAACAACATCCTTTTTTTCAGTTGATTGAAAATATTGTATCATTTATTGTAAGAGGGATTGATCAAATGACAACTAATTAATTAATATTGACCTACTGACCAAGGTGCCTACATATTGATGAACGTTAGATGCAGTTAGTCGCTAGAAGAGCTGATCCACAGGGTGGCTTGTACAAGGAGCTACCGCATGATACATTAAGGTCATAATTGTGAAGCGCGTGCCCAATTGAATAACGTGTGGTAATTGGCGAGCCGTGTGATTTCATCGTGGGTCACTGATGATGATGACACATAACTGCTCGAAGCCGCTTTATGTCGCGCCGTGTACTGTACAGAAACTGCCTCACTTACCTTACGGCACCCCAATAAAAATAACATACCTTATAATTATGTAAGTAAGTGCCCAAGACTGCCGGAGTCAATCAAATTACTGACAAAGTCCGTACAAGTCGGAAGAATCCGTGAACTATTATAATATCGTAGAAAAGCGCAAAGTTAATGTTACTCATTCACTACTACTATCTTTTTCTACAGACTCGTTAAGGGATGAGGACTGCAACATTAATAAAATAATGTAGTTAATTCTAAATAAAGAAAGAGTAAAATGCAGTCCAATAATTTAACTACACGAGTAGACTTCCAGGGCACGATCTATTTCTATGAACGAAGCTGGTGTAAGGATAAGTAATAGGCGGGGGCGGAGTGAGCGAGCCAGGAGTGTTGCGGATTGACCCTGATCGTGGACGATCTGGAACAAAGGTAATCAGGCAGATCGCGTAACTAGGGTCGTCGGCCGGCTAGCGCGTCGCGGCCCGGTCGACAAACTCTGCGACCTCATACTGTGCCACCCGACACTGACACAAACTTAATTACCAATAGCCAAAGTAGGTACTCTAATTCATTTTATCACCTGTGTGGCTAAAATGTTATTAACCTACTGACGGACAATTATATTTCGTATGTTTCAGATGTGCCTATGTTGTGGGGCATCAAGGGGTAATTGAAGTACATACTTACAATTTCACACTAACCATTAATTAACCAGTAAACATAGGAAAGTAGTAGTACCTAGGTATAGGTACTAGGAGGAAACTCACTGATATAGGAAGAAAATTTAGTAAAAATATATTTATCCATCTATTTCCCGATCTGAGAGGATGTACGTTTTAGTAAAAAAAAAAGGTTGAACACTATTTCCAGAACACTATAAGTGGAAAGCTTACCATTATTTTTTTATTTAGAGGTCACACCGGAGATTTTCCGGTTAAGAAAGAAGCAAGTCTAAGCGTCCTAAACTACGGGTAGTCCTGTTTGTAAAGATCTAGAGGTATAGGGAACAGAGAGTAAAGTTCCCAAACATAGGAAAAGGAGGATATCGTCCGACCAGGCGAGGTGTTCGTGCCTGGCGGGCTTTCTACCCAACAGTTGTTCGTTGGGATTTTCTATCCGTGTTAATCCGCATGTAAACTTCACATGTGATGTAGAATTTTTGTGACGTCATCTGTTGATTTATTTTAATCGATAGTCTATGTGCGTGAGCTGTCATGTCGCCATTTGATGTCGCTACAAGTCTTTATAGTCATGTATATACAAATACAAGGTGTTGTACGATTTTTGATATTTTATAACATAATAATATTTGGACCATATCGTCTCAAATACGAGAGTACGCGTTCGGTGCTCAGATTGGGCGGCTCCCATGAACCAACCAATAAGAGCGCCAGACGCGGTCTCGTTTCGATTACCTTAAACATAAAGTAAACACGTACTGAGGCTTAGGCTCGTTAGATTAAAATGAAATAGGTATTTAAATAGTTTTAACCGCTGACTTATCAGGAAGGAATAAAAACGACCAACATCTGCATCCTTTCTACGACACTACAGTAGTCTCGTAATAGGTTAGAGACCAGCGCTCTGTCTGGGATTCTGTTCTGCTTTATTCTAAAATATTATTTTTGAGACTCGCTCACGTGACGCGAAGATCACACTAATTGCGTATTTTATTTGTTTCTAACCTTGTAGACGCAGTAGGTACTCTTGTAACCTCGCAATTGCCAAGTGCGTTTCTGTTTAGGTATCTAAGTAGATGTCGCGGCCGTGGTGGTGCATGTTGGCGACCAGTCGATTGTATACGTGTGTATTCGGCAAAGCAGGAAACCTCGCGGGATCCAGGGCAAGCAGTTGAGCTCATTAGTGATTGTCGGTGTCACGCAACCACAATATTTACATCTACATCTGCCACGACTGCGACGATGAGTGGTATAGTTTTATGCATAGATATTATATTTTTTAATATTTCTATGGTTTATGTATTTTTATTTATTAACTAATTACCCCCCCCCTCCCCCCACTCAACTAAATTTAAACAATTGAATAATTTGCTTATTGGACGACGTGCTTCATCGTAGACCGCATTGATCATCGCTTACATACACATCCACCAGGCGAGATAGTGGTCTAACGTCGGCCCATTAAATATAAAAAAAACCTACGTATTCCTTTTTCAATTTGCGTATATTTCACCATCTTCATTATAAATACCCTATAAGCTACATATGTGACAGATTTCGGTACATAGCATCGGCCATGGCTATCGGCCTCAGAAAGCTTCGTTAGTTTTGTGCTTTGGTAAGTCTAGTGAGAATCTTCATTGTGCAAATATTGCCTGTGTGTGAACCCTGACACACATGTCTACGGGATCTGCGGCATGCTGAGAGAATTTTTCTAAAAGTTCTCATCAAGTCGAGAATACAATGGCGATGTCAACAATAATTAAAGCCTTCACAGACTTACAATCTACGTGCGAATATCGTCGAAACACAAGACGCAAGAATGCTCCGAACTGCGATTTATAACGACTGTAACATGCTTCATAAAGCCTGTGTATTTTTGGACTCCTTGGCGGACAATCCTCAATCCTCATAGAACCTCATCTCACCTCATGTGGATGGGAACTGACAGTGTGATGCAGTGCTGCTACCCGCTCATATGCTACTGTCATTACACGGATTATATGTGTTATGTGTTAAGTGTAGGGTGAAATAATTATTTGATTAGTACTTGAACATTAAGATAATATTAACAAGTATTTTTGACCTTAAAGAGTTGGAATAACTTTGTATTGTTCAAAATTACAAGTAGGTACTTACAAACTTTGAAGTTTTGAACAGATATATATCTTACATACTAGTGCAGGTACTGCAGGTATAAACGAAAACAATTGACATGAAGTGTAGTTAAATTGCACTTTTAGATGTACGGTTAGGAAACAGCTGGGAAGGAGAGGAGACTCACCATCTTAGCGAGCATGGTGTCCATCTGTGGCTGGTGGGTGGCGGTGAGCAGTTGTCGGATGCGGCTGGCGTTGGCGACGCACTGCGCCATGCAGCGCTGCAGCGCGGCCGCCTGCCGCACCAGCGCCGCGCTCAGCGGAGCGTCCGCCCCGCCCGCGCTCGCGCCGCGCAGCACTGTCTCCAGGACATGCGCGTGCTGCGACACGTAGTCCAGGCAGCGCTGCAATTCCACCGCTTCACGCTGTTGCCGTTCTGCAACCACACAAGTGGAAACCAAATGTAAGCCCTGCAGAATTTATTCTATGTAGAGCAACATTTTTTTTATTTAATATTAATTTCATAACAATAAAGTACCAATACATTTCATTCACTAAACATGGAACTAATTCCATGTATAGTGAACAGTGGTGTTGCTGAATTTGAATCTATTTTTATTTTACAAAGAGAAATATATAAAATATATTTGTTTGATATTCAAAATGGAGGTTGATGCTGAAAGAATTAAATTATATTGAAAGTTTTTCTGTAGCAATTATCAGGCTGATCTGTCATCAAAAATCAATCCAATTACTAAATTTTATCAAAACATATAATCGGGACAAGCTAAATAAAACTGTTTAAAATAAAATTGTATTATTATTTTATAGATGCTACATATCATACATGTAGTATATAGATATTATCTGTAATAATATATACTAATACAACAGTCTGTAAGAACTATTTGTTATATATCTTACATAAATAAAGATTTTTATTATTATTATTATTATTATAAATAGTTGATTATGAGGAGTAAATATTCTTAAATTGCTTTTTAATATTGTAAATCATTCGTTGACTAGCTGGCAAGAATAATAAACTCGTGTGTGCACATTGCGATGTGATGCGATGACGATTAAAGATCCAATCTTAAGTAATAGTAAACAATAATACAACAATTATTGTTGTGATCTCTACTTTGTATTGTAGGTTAATTTATTGATAATTCGGTCAGTGGTTCATCCTAAGGATACCCCTTACCCATGAAAAATTTGTTTTTAAAATAATATTGTCGGTTAATAACAATTCAAATTGGAATGCAAATAAATAATTTATTACCATGGAAATCATAGATTCGCTGGGTCCTCCTTAAATATTTCTCTTCCTGTAGTTGTTTGTCGATCTGAGCCTGTTTGTCACGAGCCTCTAGCACTTCCAAGAACGACGAGAACAATGACTTTCTTTCGTTAGAGTTTGTAACGGTTTCTTGCATATTGATTGTAAATATAGAGCGATTGATAAATGAAAACTGCAAAATTGTGTGTTCCTTGTGTTTACAGTATAGAAAGAAATGGCTATTTATGTTTTATTTGTAAAATAAAACGAGATCCGATCGATGACACTCAATAATTCGAAATGAAATTCAAAAGAGACACAGCCAACCACCACCACACCTGTCTAATGCTGGTTTGACTATGATATGACAGTGACAGTGTGACACTCTCTTTGATGACAGTACGCAATCTGTCTAGTCTATTGCATAGACTTTATTTCTTTAGTCATTGCTTCTATCTGTCTGTGGTACTTGTGGACATACTGTGGTGTTGTTGTGTTCAAATTCAAATTCATCGTTCGTTCCTGCAACTGTAGTCAAATGTAGAATAGAAAACCATAGAAAATTGAATGGCGTTTCTTGAACCATACCATAACCAATAGTAACGCACGCTATATCCATAGACAACTCCAATGACAATTGGAAATTGAAACAGGTTCGGGTATCGTCTATGCGTAGAATTAGCTGTCAAAGTTGGTTGAAGGCACTATCATTAATTCGGAATTCCGGCTTCTTGAAGCTTTATTTGCTCGATATTTTATGAAAATCATATTCAATTAATTAATATAAAATGGCAAGAGAAAGCAGCGCAGGATTTGACAGACACATAACTATCTTCTCCCCCGAAGGACGACTTTATCAAGTTGGTAAGTTACTTTTTTTCACCGGTGACAAGGAATGACTTGCACAGTGCACTCCAGTTAGTAAATACTCGTCAACAATAAGTATTTGTTTTCAAACGATGGTAAAAAGGCAATTGTCACAATAATTACAATATCTGTATTACCTTAAAAATAACTATAAACTATTTAAAATTTTACAGTCGTAATCATGATGAAGAAATCGGGTAAACTAAATGTGTATGAGATGCAGCTCTCTCTACCTATAAAATTAATTTGACAGAGTATGCGTTGAAAGCAATCAACCAAGGTGGGCTGACATCTGTAGCACTGCGCGGCACAGACGCCGCAGTAGTTGCAGCGCAGCGTAAGGTGCCCGACCGCCTGCTTGATCCTGCCTCTGTCACGCATCTGTTTCCGCTTACTAAACGCATTGGAGCAGTGATGACGGGCATGATTGGTAAGTTAAGAAATTATCCAAAAAAAGAATATTATTATGCTACTATAGAGGTGTTTAAGCCTCAAATTTATTAAGCAGCAATAGCTATTTAGTTTCTTTTATTTCTCTTGGTCTGTTTACAATCTTATTGTCTGCATGGTCTGTTTCAATATTTAACTTTTTCATTTATGCAGAATTTATATATTTTTAATATTGTATAGTACTCACTAGGGCATCGAAAACCGGTCCTATTTTAGGAACTGGTTCTTTCCGTTCTAAATTCTAGACGGAACCGGGTACCCGGTTCTTTCGGGTTTTTTTCATAAATTCTATTTGGAAAGTGTCTAAATAAAACACACTTTAGAATCAGAATCATTTATTTGTTATTTTATTGGTACACATATTTATATATTTTTTGAATTATACACAAATTACAACATTGTTTTTAACTAGTTTTGGCAACAATCAGTTCTTTAAAATTCAGTATTTTCACAATCAGTTCTTTATAATTCACTACACTACAGAGATCAAAAAGGGAAATAATAAAAATTAAACTTAAAAAAATTAACCATCTTACAAGCTAGATGTAGGAAATTTTACAAATCCACTCAAAACAAATCAACAAGCACATAGCAGTTATAAATTAATGAAAAAACTAAAAAAATATATAACAAAAACCAAATAACGAAAATTAATGATTAAATTGAGCATTACCAGAGCATTACATATTGGCTTTCTTATTTCCTAAATAAAAGGAACGTAAAAAAAATAAGTGCATCTAAAGTTTTGTTGCTTAAAGACAAACGGAGTCTATTGCAGACTATCTCGGCGGAAGAAAATATACGTTCCGGCTCCACACTAGTGGGTGGAATTGATAGTAAATGGTGATAAGCGAGCGATAGGTTTCATCCTCGCTGTATCTGACCACCATTCTCAAACATAGCCATTTCTACTCTTATAGTAGTGTTGATGTCGTTTCAGGAGCAGAAGCAATAGCTTAACTTATTTCCTTATTAAGTTCTTCCTTCATTTGTTAAAGAAGATACTTGTAAGTTGTAAGTCATCATCATCATGTCTCCTAAAATCAGGCGTACAATCAAGAGGTACACTTTGTTTTGTGCGTTGAATGAGGTTTACGATTCCTGCAGCATCTCATGACATCGGCCGAAAAAAAATAGTAAAAAAAAACAATTTTAAGAGGGAACCGTAAGAACAGAAAACACCGGTTCCTCGTTTTGCAGAACCTATTCTATCGGGGTCTTTCAGAACCGGGAATTCCCGGTTCTTTCGGAACCGTACATGCATTATGTACTTTTAAAAACGATGCTCATCTCAAACTATACCTACAACTCAGGAATGGACTTTTGGCTAACTACAAGAGATAAACATATTCAAAAATATTTGTAATTATGAATAATAATAATAAATAGGATTTTCGATAGGTTTGGCTATTTAAAAGTTCATAGTATTAATAGTGTGTGGGCGATGTTTGCAGCGGACAGTCGGTCGCAGGTCCAGCGCGCCCGCTACGAGGCTGCCAACTGGCAGTACAAGTACGGCACCGAAATACCCGTGCACATCCTCTGTCGCCGTATCGCGGACATCTCACAGGTCTACACACAGAATGCTGAGATGCGACCTCTCGGATGCAGTGAGTTCACATATTGATGTCAACTGACTCAATTACATCGCCAAAATATAATTATGTTTAGCTTAGATCTCAATAAGTAATTCAATGGTAGTAATGCAAATTTATTATGAACAAAAAATAGTCTTTCTGCAATAACTTGTATCAGTAATTGCATATTATGTCCTTAACTGTGGTTAGATAATGTGCTGCAATCTTCGATCAACATTAACAACTAGATAAAGGGTTACGTACAAAATCAAGCTCCAGTTCTGTCCGCGTTAATAATAATAGTAAAAAATAACAAACAGAGAAAAATGTTTTAAAATAGTTTTAAGTTCAACCTAATAACAACCATGGCACCTAATAATATAGTCATAAATCGTCAAAATATTATCTAATACTTACGACCATTTGTCACATAAGAC